AAAAAAAAAAAAAAAAAGAAAAAAACTTGGGGGAGAGATAAGGTCTGGAAAACAATCTGGAATTGCCAGGCTGTTGGTGGGAGCTCTGCGGGGCTGGCGTCAGGAAGTCTGCGCCGCCTTCTATTACTGTTGATCCAGCTTTGTGCAGCTGCACTCAGTACAATTAGCTTGTAGAAACAATCCTGCTGTAGGCAGCCTCTTCCCTTCAAAGTGCTTTTCTATACTGATCCCCTCACATCATGATGCTGGAAATCAAGTCACAAGCCGACCACTGTTTGGCCAACATCATCTGTGGGAATTCATTAACCTCCATCCCAGAGATGCAACAAGAGATTGTTTGTCCAGAACTAAACTTACAGCTTAATATGATGTAGCCCATACAGGAAAAAACCTGTGTCCCCATTTTTTTTTGTCCATAACAAGAAACACATTGTGCAGCTTTTTTTTTTTTTTTTTTTTTTTTTTTTTTCCCCTTTTTCTCTCTCTCTCTCTTTTTTTTTTTTTTTTCTTCTTTAGGGGGTGGGGAATGTAGCTGAAACCAGGCGTGATCCAGCTCCTGCTAAAACTTTGCCATCAAACTGTTTTTTGGTTCATCGGGCTGTAGTTTCCATAGAAGCAACTTATCCCCGCGATCATCTTGTTGGGTGCACTTTGCAAGCTCATTTCCCGTCTGAGTTTGCTCCGCTGCTCTCAGATGCTGCAGCTGACACATTTCCTCCCCGTGCACTTTGCACCCACCTCATCCTTGCCCAGATGCTCTGGGCTGATTGTGCCTAAAAGGGGGTTTCATTGCGCACTGCAGCTGCCCGGGGGGAAGGGATCAGCCTCTGTGTGGGGTTTTTTTTATTTTTATTATTTTTCTTTTGTATTTCTGCTTCCCCCCGCTTCAGTGCCAGCCGTGCGCTGTGCCGGTGGCCTCCGTGGCGGCCGGTGCGGGGCCGTGTTGTGGCGGGAGGCCTCGCCACGCGCCCGGCACGTGGGTGCTGCCCTGCGCCCTGCGCCGCGGCCTGCGCGAGCGGAGCTGCTTCGCGCCAGCGCCGACGCGATGCTCCTGCTCGGCCCCCGGCCACGCTCCTGGCGCCCTCCTCGTGGTGTCTCCCGTTCCAATGGGACGGCCTTGCTGCTTCCAGGTTTCTTGCTCGAGGAGTCTGTGGGGATCCTCCCACCCAGCTCCCTTCCAGCATTCCTCTTCTGCCCCAATCATGGCTGCCCTCTGTCCCCCAGCCATGTGTTCAGCTGCCCCTTGGTGCTTGGATGTTTCCCTCCCCAAAACCTTCTCCTGTGGGTCTTGGCCACATGCAGGCACCACTCCGGCCTGCTGCTGTCCCCAAATCCTCCTGCTGCCGCTGCTGCTGCGCTCGAGCTCACTGGTGAACTTGGATTTAGTTCTGCTTTCTCCTGAGCTCTGCGACAGCGGTAACAACCCCAGACCT